GGTGTGCAGTTCATGCCCTATCTGGATGGGCCCTGGGTAAAGATGCAAAGGGCAAGAGATAATTCTGTACAGGGAGAACTTAAAAAAGAAGCACCAAACCCCTCTACTGTCTCTTTCATGGTGCCAGTTCTGCCCTTTTTGAATGTCAGGGTGGGAAAATGGTGGCGGTGATCAGGGGCAGCTAAGTCCCCAAAGCAGCATTAGTGTTTTCTTTTCTCTGTTGGGAAACCTTTGACTAATCCAAGGATCAAATCGAAATGAAGAATTTGGCCCTCAAACCTGCCCTCGATTCAATCAAGAAGTCGACTTGTACATGAGTATATATGGTAGTAATTGTTGTTGAACATAAAATAAAAGATGCAGCAGCTCTAAACAAAGGCAAAGCCAAGATCCAAAGGAGGGAGAGTTAAACTCTTTGTCTCAGCTTCAGTTCTGGGGGAGATTCCATCCTCACCCTGTATTACAATCCAGTTTGTGAAGGAAGCTTGCATTGCCACCAATAATTTATGTTATATTTGGTAAGTGTGGGTGTCTTACAATTATCAACATCAAAACAGCCTGTTGAAGGTTCTTCATACACCCCCAAATAAGGGATTCTTTTAACACCTTAAGATCTTTGTTTATTTGAAGAGGGGCTGTTTTTTTTTTCCGTACAACTTGCTCAACTGTGCAAAATTATCAACTTTTCTCCCCTTTTGAATTCAAGTGCACACAAACAACAATTTCAACATTGTTTGATCTGAGAGATTCAAACTGCCTCCCCAATGCTACTAATTTTGATAGTTCATGCAAGAAGGCAGCACTTAACATATTTGTGCACTTGCAAAATTGTGGGCAAAATCCCAAAAATCCACAGAATATCTCCAGTACTGACAAAATAGTGCTCTGAGAAGGAGGACAATGTCATATCCTCATTTTCTATGTGAGAATGAATCAAATCAGGATTTATACTCCTCCTGCTCATAATTCTCTGAGGTGTCTCAACAGGTCTCCACAGTCTGCTTAGGAGATCTCAAGTAGCATTATCAAAAGTAAAGCAATCCTCTTCATTACTGTACTATATTTGGAAAGTCGATGTAGTATAGTTGTTTAAGAATTGGATTATGACTCTGGAGAACAGGGTTCAAATCTTCACCTGGCCAAGGAAGCCCATTAAGAGAGCTCAATCACTAAGGGAATTTTTATCTTATTAGCTTGGTTGAGAAGGCAAATAGCAGACATTTTTAATTCAAATTCATTGGTCTTGTTCTTCTCAGTTGTGGCTCTCAGGTTATGGAATGTCTTCCTATTAGAGGCCAAATGAACTGTCTTCATATGAACCCCAAGTGAAATCATTGCTTTTTATTACAGCACCTGAGTCCTAATGATGTCAGTATGTTTACATTGTATTATCTGCTGTTTATCTGTCTGTTGCACAATTTGATATGCTTTAAGTGTTTTTTACTGTTCCATATTTTTAACTGTTTACGTGGATTTCATTGTGTGCTTGCTTGGGATCTGTGGGTATTAACTGATTGATTGACTGCTTGACTGACTGACACATTCATTTATGAATTTCAATTACAGATTAAGTAACTTCTAAATATGATAGTGGATTCTTGGATTTGTGTTTAATTTGCAGACTTGGGCCAGAGTTCTGTTGGCGACTTGCATTTGAATAATTGAGAGATATGCATTATTTTTTTCTGCATATATATTTTTTGCAATGATATATCTAATACCCCTTTGCACAATAATTTCAACAAACTGCTACCTGACCCAAGCAGCCAGTTGTTGCCCAAGAGTTTACTGTAATACCTCAACTGTGAGATGGTTCTCCTAGTGGTCACTGTATCCTGGACCTTCATATAAGTATTTTGGTTGAGCTGTACAATAAATGGTCATCCAGATAAACAGGATTCCAGCCTAAATCTATAAATCTAGGAAGATTGCTCTCTAATTGCCATACCCAATACCCACACAGACTAGAAAATAATGTAATCTAAGTATTGTCGAAGGCTTTCATGGCTGGAATCACTAGGTTCTTGTAGGTTTTTTCGGGCTATAGGGCCATGTTCTAGAGGCATTTCTCCTGACGTTTCGTCTGCATCTATGGCAAGCATCCTCAGAGGTAGTGAGGTCTGTTGGAATTAGGACAATGGGTTTATATATCTGTGGAATGGCTGGGGTGGGGCAAAGAGCTCTCTGCTGAAGCTAGGTGTGAATGTTTCAGCTGACCACCTTCATTAGCAGAGAAGAGCTCTTTGCCCCACCCCAGCCATTCCACTGATATATAAACCCATTGTCCTATTTCCAACAGACCTCACTACCTCTGAGGATGCTTGCCATAGATGCAGGCGAAACGTCAGGAGAAATGCCTCTAGAACATGGCCCTATAGCCCGAAAAAACCTACAAGAACCTAATGTAATCTAAGCTCTCCTTCTAGAACAGGCATGGGCAAACTCTGGCCCTCCAAGTGTTTTGGACTTCAACTCTGACGATTCCTAACAGCTGGTAAGCTGGCTAGGATTTCTGGGAGTTGAAATCCAAAACACCTGGAGGGCCAAAGTTTGCCCATGCCTGTTCTAGGAGTATGACCTTCTTACACCTGAATATTATGCCTAGGATTTTCTGTTTAATGCTCACAAACATTGACCATGAAATATTGTCTGCTCTGATATTGTGAAGTCATGAAGTAACAATAATATCAACAATAAAATCTATGTATTTTGTTTTCTTCTTTAAAAAGCTTTATTATACAGATCTCTGCAACTACTGAAAACTGCAGCTGTTGTCATGACTATCTTCTGTGCATTCTTTCAGGCTCTCTTTCAACTGAACAATTTGCTTGGCCTTGACTTCATCTTCAATCATCAGCAAAATGTTTTGACTTTTCTCTCTGTGTGCATATTTCCCCAAAGACATTATTAGGTATATAGAATATAATCCTCTAAGTAATTTCTCCAGTATTAAATCATTATCAAGGAAATGGAATATAATGGTAATGTTACACAAATAAAATGGCATCTATTGGACCAGATATATCCTTGTGTGCACCTGAACTAAATGCATTCAGAATGGTATGTATATATATCTTTTATCCTAGCAGCACTGAGCCAATTCCTGTCTAAACTGAAAATGCTCTTTTTAGCTTCCTCTATTACCAAACCCCTTTTAAAAAAATCACTGACTGAAGCTCTGGTCCTTTACAAATTTGACTGTATCTGCTTTATTCCCACCTAATCACCACTGATAAATACTACATGGTTATAATTATTCTATAATACAGATCAGCTTTAAAAGAAGAGAGGATTTTTTTCCCTTCAAAATGTAACTCTATGCATAATTTACCAGGCTTCTATGATATATATAATGTGCTTTCCTACACCCAACCAAGATTCCTTCTCCTTTCCTTAGCTCATAATAGTTATTAAACTTAAGCAAGTGTGAATAATTAAACGAATAGATTGTGTAATTATTTTTTCTCTCAAAATATTTGGAAATATATTAGAGATATGTCTAGAAGAGCAGAGATTCACACCTGCACAAATAGAACAACACTCATTTGTGAAAAATGATAATAGAATCCTAGATTTGGAAGAGAACACATGGGCCATTCAATCCAACCCTCTGCCATGCAGGAAAAGCACAATCAAAGTGCCCCTGACAGATGGCCATCCAGCCTCTGTTTATGCCTTTCAGTGAAGGAGGCCAATATGTAGTATAAAGAAGAGAGCTTGGAAGAGGAGAAATGGAAACTTTTCTTCACAAGATATCATTGCCTGCTCACTTAGAGTGGGTAAAATTTCAGGACAGCTGAGCAATGCCTGTTTGAATCATAACTTGACATTGAAACTAGAGCCTGGATGTACTACCCCCCACCTTCCATTTTTCAGGTTAAAAAAAAACCTTGGTTTTTATTAATTTAACTGGTTAACCAAATTCCATGCTAAGTCTATGAGAAGCAAGAGGGACATAGGATAGTGAATAGAAAATCAGGGACTTTTGCACAGGGACACCATTACAAACTTCCCCCACTCCGCAAGGCTGGGGAAGGGGAAGTGACTTTGCCACCTCGCCTGTACAGAAGCCCCGCTTCTTCAGTTCGGTCTGAGACGTCGACCCACCCACCCACCACCAACAGTATAGTAATTTGGTCGCCTAGGGGCCGGGACTCCAGGAATAGAGTCGGGTCCAGGAATAGAGTCGGGTAGGAATTTTTTCTCTCTCATGTTCTGGGAGGGTTTTTCGCCTACCCTATACTGTTATTGTGACAAATTGGGAGGTGTGGTCTGTTAAATAGGGCTTAGTGGAAAAAGGTAGGAACATGACACATCCGGTGTACACCCTGGCACTTGAGTTTTGGTGTAGGCCAGAAGCGAATTCCTCTGGCTTGGATTCAAACAAACCTGGCGGCGGGATGGCATCGATGGCCTAGGAACAGGAAATGTTTGACCACAATTCCTTGAGGAAATATTCTCCGCTATGTTTCCCTTAAGGTCATCCAGTTTTAATTTCAACAGAGGCCTGGTGTTTCGCCCAAGTTTGTTGCCAGGGATGGGTCGGGAAGGACCACTACCTTATACTTAGCTCTTACCAAATTCCAAGACACACTCCGAGTTATGATATAGTTAATAGTTACAAATCTTAAACTTGGTAACAGTTTAATAAAGTTGCCGAAATTTGATCCCAATAGATTGTGTGGTCTCCTTATTTCGGGGGTTGGATGGCAAATGACTTTTTATTGGCTGTAGAAACCTAGGCAATAAAATTAAATCCAAAAAGTGCTTTGTGAATAGTCTGCATTGCTGGTGAGGTTCTGCAATGAGTGACATTTCCAAATTTGGTACTTGAAGCAGTGAGATATAAGTTGTCATCCCCCCAAAACAAATTAAGTTTCTTCACTATTTGATTATGTTGAATCGACAAAGTTTTAAAATAGCAGTTTAATTTCTTTTATATACCATTAATAGAATGCAAGCATAAGGGAAAAAATAAACTAGGGTAAACTTATCATTACCATTCTTCTTTATCTGCATCACAGTTACAAAAGTATCTCAGATCCAGGCAGCTTTCTTCTAATCCACATGCACACTGCTGGACTCCAGGAATAGACCCTCCCCAGTAAGGATGCTTTTCGTTGGCACGGCCAACCCACCAAACAAATGGCATTCCATCTGTAGAAACAAAGAAAGAAGAACTGCCATAAGGGATGGGAAATAAATAGACAAATTAAGAGGAAAAGCCAGGATGAAATAGCATCCCGAGTGTTGTTGTTTCAAAGAAAAGTGTATGTAATTTTGAATTCACCTTTTCACATTTGCACCACTTACGTTCTCTTGCCAGACTCCCTTCAACTGCCATGCAGTGGAATTCTGGGACTTGTAGTTTCACACATTATTCGCCTTCTCTATTATAGAGTGCTGGTGCTTGATCAACTACAACTCTCAGGATCCCAAAGTGTTGAGCCATGGCAATTAAATTGAATTCAGCAAGCAAACATACATGATAAGCTATAATGATTATATTTTAATATATTTGCATTGTTTTATGTTTAGTATTAGCCTTAGTATTCTTGAGTCTTTTTATTGAGTTCTGATTTTGAAGTGTGATCATTTCCAAATGATCTGATGTGTGTACCCAAAAATCTATTCAGAGAAATACACTGAAAAAAGTTTTCTCTAATTCAATTGTTAATCTCTAGAGCATTTTAAACCAACTGAATATGATCAGCGAAGCAAAAGGTGGCCCTCCTATATTTTTTAAAAATTACATATACACAACATACAGCATATTACTAAAGATTGGATTATCAGATCAATTTCTGAGGCTAAAAAGAACATCTACTTCACAGCGGTAATTTAAATAAATTTAGTTAAGCTCAACAAAGTTAATGTATTGTCGGAGGCTTTCATAGCTGGAATCACTGGGTTGTTGTAGGTTTTTCAGGCTGTATGCCCATGTTCTAGAAGCCTTCTCTCCTGATGCTTCACCTGCATCTATGGCAGGCATCCTCAGAGGTTGTGAGGAAAATGGGGTTCATATATCTGTGGAATGTCCAGGGTGGGAGAAAGAACTCTTGTCTGTTGGACAACAAAGTTAGTTAAAAAAAAGAATAACCACAATTGGATTGAAGCAGCTAAATGATAACTATTGGATTGGTGCAATGTTTAATATGTTTTATGATGTTTACATGTATTATGTTTTAATGGTTTTAATTCATATTTATATGTTTACTAATTTTAGTTACCACTAATTATATCATGTACTGCTTTTTGCATGTATATTGTGGCATTGAATTTTGCCAGTTTGTAAGCTACTCTGAGTCCCCCTTGGGGTGAGAGAGAATGAGATAGAAGTATAGTAAATAAATAATAAATGAATAAATAATAAATGCATTACTAGTTAAAGCAAGCAGTATTTACATTAGTGGCAAGTTGTGGCAATAGGAACTCCAACTGGGAAGAAAGCCAACTTGATTGACATCATTATATAACTTTTTCTTCTGGGATGTTTTTTTTTTGTCGTGTCAGGAGTGACTTGAAAAACTGCAAGTCGCTTCTGGTGTGAGAGAATTGGCGTCTGCAAGGACATTGCCCAGGGGACACCCGGATGATTTGATGTTTTTATCATCTTTGTGGGAGGCTTCTCTCATGTCTCCGCATGAGGAGCTGGAGTTGATAGAGGGAGCTCATCCGCCTCTCCCTAGATTCGAACTTACTACCTGTCAGTCTTCAGTCCTGCTGGCACAAGGGTTTAACCCACTGCACCACTGGGGGCTCCATTTCTGGGATGGTAATATTCCACTTATCTATATATATAAAATCCAAAAGGGCGTCCTTAGGGACCGCAAAACACGAAAAACCCTGGACAAAAACTCACCAAACTTGCCGTACACATACCTCAAACCACAAGGTATGCACAACACTCATCACAATTCAAAACAACATTACAACAAACTCACAATCACATAAACAAACAGAGCATGGGCAGAGGCATCCCGCCATGAGCCCCTGGCGCGTGCACATGGCCAGAACACGCCCCTTCACGGAAGCCACGCCCCTCCCTTTGCTGAAAACGGAATGAAGGAAGGAGTGAAAGAAGCAGAGAAAGGGGGAGAGAAGGCTGGCCACAGCAACGTGTGGCGGGTAAAGCTAGTTTATTATAAAATATAACATTCCATTGGATGTGCCCCCTGACATATGCTCACCCAAGCACAAAAGGTCACATTTCAGCACTCACTTGAACATGAAGTTATGCAGCTCCTTTTTTTTCCAGTGACCAATAGATGCCTCATGCTGTCAGCTAAAAAAAAATCTTGCCTTGTTTTATTCAAGAACAACTAACTAAATTGAGACATTTGACTTCGCTCTCTACCCAGCTAAGTGCCTCTGGCCTCAATCTGATATTTCTTTTCTGACTATGTATCTAAAATATGAGAGTATTCCCATACTATAAGATAGAGATCCTATGAAATCCTGTGGTTTGTAGTTTGGTGAAGTTCTTGGAATCTTCCTTAGAAATTTTTGTTGCAACTAAGGGGAGTGTGCATTTGAGTTTTTTGAAGGGAATTTAAGGACTTTACCAAAGATTGGTGGATTCCACAGAATGCAGCCACCACAGTTAAAATGCAATCAAGTTGCAATTGTTATATTCTGCAGAACCAATACAGTCTTGCAGTTCTTGAGTCTTTATTTGTCAGTTAATCTTCCCTCAAGCTCTGATCCCCAATGCTTGCTGTAACCTGTATTCTAAATAAATAGTTTGGCCCCTTCTCCAACACCTCACTTCCAATGACTTAATAAATTAAGTTCTTCCCCACCATTTCTCCATGGTATGAAGGAAGAACGGATAGATCAAAAGAATCTCCAGGCAAGATTTAGACTGAGAAAAAAGGAACCTATCCTCAACAACGAAAGCAATAGGTTTTGTTGTGCTTTATCTTCTGTCCAGTGGTCAGCCACAGCTTCCATGCCCATCAATCCATTTCAAATTGTAGCCTGAGCTCTCAAAGAGCTATTCAAGGATCTGAAACCTCTCCAGAAAGGAGGTTCAGCACATTTAATAGCTTCTTTAAAATACTGACTAACATTGGGAGTGGATCATTATCTTACACACAAGGGATCCATCAGTCCCTTTATGCAAACTTAAAGCAAAATAATCTTCTGCAAAAGAGCATCAGAGCTTCAGAAATAACATTTAATAAGTAATTACAACTATGCTCCATTGCCCCTCATCCAAATAATTACCTATATTTACCATGTCAAAAAGAACATTTTATCATTTTGTAAATATAAAATAGTTACTTTTAGTTCCTTTCCCCAAAACTATATGAATGCTACAAGCTGTTGTTCTGTGGTGCAACATAAACTATCCTCTCCTCCACCAAAATAGCTCAAAGTAACAGGAGAAATTAGTATTCAGATGACATGATGATAAAAGTGCACCATGTGGTGAGTTATGCTCCCAAGAGTTATAAAGGCAATAAAATGCACAGCGGAAACACCAAGGAGTGACATTAATGTAGCAATACCTTAATTACCAGGAAAGGGAATTAGTTACAAACAATTAAGTAACTAGTTACTTCTGAGTTGATAGAACTGAAAATTATGACCATGGTCTAGCACCAAAATCTCTCTCTCTGGAGAAACCATAGTGCACAGATGGACTGCAGTAGCAGCCTAACACTTAAGGAAGATTTGTCTGTAACAACATGATAAGATCCCTGGAATAGAGCGGTGTGATGTAAATTATTCAGTAATCAGCGCCAGAGCTCAGGAAGAGACACTGCAAAGAAATGAAGGTTGGCTGAAGTAAGTGAGCAAAGAAATTGCTTAACATGAAAATGTTCAAATAAAAAATAAATTTTGGTCTCTACCTTGAATAGCAGTTTAAAGGAGCTATTCAAAGTGCTGAATCTTCTTTGTGGAGAGAGAGTTCAATACCTCAAATTGTTCTTTGAGAGCTCAGACTGTGGTTATCATGGTAGAAATAGAAACACTGTTCGGAGTGAAGTTGATAATAACATTTTAAATAAAACACTAGTGATCACAAATAATCTGTATACTAGACTCTTCCTTAAATAGCAACAGCTAATTACATTACATATGGACAAAGTAACAAATCAAAAAGCTGTAACAGGAATGAAGGTTAATTGCAAAGTACAGTTGATAAATTAGAGATGCACCATGTTTGTCAATTCAGGTTTGCCTTGTCACAAGCCTTTGTCAATGACTTTAGACTCTTACAGTAAACAGTGAAATCCTAGGCATCTTATCTCAAAATTGAATTTCACTGAGCTCAATGGGAATTACTTCCACATAGGTGGGAACAGGGACTATACAGAAGGTGCATTATTTTGAAACCATCATAAATGAGGAGGCAAGAGCTTTGTTCAAGACCCAGTGGAACTCATTATAAAAATGGAAAGTTCCACAATATACATCTCCTTAGTGTATATTCACTAATTTTGCATTCTTCAAACTTGCAGGATTGTTAATGCATATTATTAGCAAACTATTCCCCTTAAAAAATTATTGTAACAAGCTATGGGAGAGAAATGGGAGGGAGGACTGAAGATGATATTATGGAAACAAATATGGCATCTACACGATATGGCACATTCTTCTAGTTTTCATACTTTTCCACTCTGGAAAAACCTAATCTACAAAAATAACGTGCTTGTTATCAAGGAAAAAGTAATGACATTATTTCCTAACATCCTGACTGGAGAGCTAGTATCGTGCAGTGGTTTGAACTCTAAACTACAAACTCTGGAGACCAGGGTTGAATCTTTGCTTAGCCATGGACATCCACTGGGTGGTCTGGATCAAGTCACAATCAAACTCAGAAGTAGGCACATAGCAACAACACTCTGATTCCAAAATCTCCATTGTTCCTTGAAAAAGTGAGTTTAAAAACTAACACCTTTTATTCAGTGCAAGCTCTCATAGACTCCAGCTCCTTTCAACAGATGTACGGGGCTATGAAAACTAATGCCAAGAAAACTTGCTAATGTTGAAAATACCACAAGACTTTTTATTGCTTCTTTGCTGCAACAGACTAACACACACAAATACACCAAAATGTCTCTTCTGCTTTTTGTAGAATTTCCAAGCACATTTAAGAATATTTAGGATTAGCTATTTAATTTTATTGACAATTTAAATAGACATGA